GAGGTCAGAAGAGAGATTAGGGCTGGACAAATAGATATGAGAATCATCTGCAGAGAGATAATATTTGAATCCATGGGAGCTGGTGAGATCACTAAAAATAATGTAGAGAAAGGCACACGGGAGAGAGCCTTGGGGGGATACTCATGGTTAGTAAGCATGAGCTGAATAAAGATCCCGCAAAAGAGACTAAGGATGGGCCAGACAGGCAGGAGAGGATAATGTTACAAAAACCTAAACAGAAAAGTATTCATGAGAAGATGGTGATCAACAGCATCGAGTCACAGAGGTGAAGAAGAAAATGGAATGAGAAAAGGTCATTCTTCAGTTTGGGCAATTAAGAGATTCAGCTTTGGAAAGAGTGCTTAGCACAGTGACTGGCACATAGTAAATAATTGTTAATACTTGTGACTAAGGAGGCTCACATATGGCTGGAATATAAGATGAATACAGGGAATAAAGTCTAAGAACACTGGAAAAGTGGGGTCGGGAGGGCAGGTTTTAAAGGGCATTAAATGTAAAGGAATTTTAGATTTAATCCTGGAGATCATAGGGAGCCACAAGTAAACTGGAATAGACATTTAACATGGTCAGAGCTGTCCTTTACGAAAATCACTGTCTGAGTGGTAACTCTCCATTTTCTATTGATTTCCATTCCAAGGAACATCTATCATGTCTCCTCCAGAAATAAACTGATCGCCTGAAATCTCATCACCATGCTGACTGACTCAGTTTTAGATACTCTAAGCCTTCTCAGCTGCCTGAGTGGCTTCACACTTCTGACTAGAGAATGAAGCAATAATATCCTCCCAAAGCCTTCCTTTTATATAAAGGTCTAAGAACTTTCCATTTACCATCAGGAGTTCCATTTGGATTCCACAGAATATCATGCCCCTGCACTGGGTACCCCCCCTAGAAATGCCTTTCCTTCCTCTCCAACTAGATTGTGAGCTCCTTGACAGCAGGAACTTGTTCTTATTTGCATCCCCAGCACTTAGAACAATGCATGGTGCATAAATAGTGAGCATTTAGTAAACGTTTATTGAGCTGGATCTTGAGGAGACACTGGAGACAGGGAGAAGAAAACTTGCAATAATCCAGGTGTGAGGTGATAAGGCCTATGTCAGAGATGCAGCTGTGTGGAGAGAAGAATGTATTCCAGAAATATTACAAATAAGAGATGGCAACAAACTGGATTTGCAGGATGTGAGAGCTGAGGATGACAGAAATTTGCAAGCCTGAGAGACCAGGTGATATCCTCTACGATAGTACAGAGGGTTTGGGGAAAAAGAAGTTGAGGTCTCTTTTGGGACATATTGAGTTTGAGATGTCTATGAAACACCTTTGAAAAGCTTCCTAACGGTTTCAGATGTAGACAAGTGGAACGTGCTGCCTTGAGTTCTCTTTCAAGTTTTGAGGCAGTAATTGGACAACCACTTGCTAGTAATGCAACAGTAGAGATCTCTGTCCTGTTTGGATTGCTTTGTTTATTTATTATTTATTGCTTTTTTACATCCCTGTAATTTCGAAAGACTTCACCAATAATGAGAAAAATGCAAATCAAAAAGCTCTAAGGCTTCACCTAACGTGGCAAACTGAAAACAATGCAAAAAAATGGAAAAAGTCCACCTTAGAGGGGTGTTCTATAAAAAGAGTCAACGTTAACAACACTGTTGGTAGAGTTGAGAATTATTCCAACTATTCTGGAAATCAACGTGGAACTAGGCTAAAAAAAAAAGGGAAAAAAGTGACTACAGTGTCCATACCTGCTGCTCAGTTATTGTTCAATTGTTTCAGTCATGTCTGACTCTTTGTGACCCCATCTGGGGTTCCCTTAGCAAAGAAACTTGGAATGGTTTGCTATTTCCTTCCCTAGCTCATTTTACAGATGAGGAAATTGAGGCAAACAGGATTAAGTGACTTGCTTAGGATCCCACAGCTAGTAAGTGTCTGAGGCCAGATTTTGAATTCTAGAAGATGAGTCTTTCTGTGTCCAGGTATAGCACTCTATCCATTGTGCCATCTAGCTGACCGCCTACTGCTAGGTACATACCGCACCCCTCAAAATCATAGATAGACTGGAAAGTCCCACATACATCAACATTTTCAGAGTAGGACTTTTTTTGTGGTAGCAAAAAATGGAACACCAAGTAGATGTCCACAAATTGAGGAATACCTAAATAGTGATATATGAATGTAATGGAATATTGCAGCATCATAACAAATTAATGTGAAAAATCAAAGAGATTTCTGGAAGACTTGCAGTGCTGATGCAGAGTCTTAGCATAGTGCCTGGCAGACCAGACACTTAATAAATGTTTACTGTCTACCTGACCGAGGTAAGTAGAACCAAGAAAACAACATATATAATATAAATGGAAATTTTAGATTTAAAAAAAATGGAATGCTGTGAAATTATAATGTCAAAAAAACTTGGCACTGGAGAAGAACTGAGGGGATGGACTGTCCTTTTTTTGCAAAGGTTGGGTACTGTAGGTATGGAATATTTTACACACTATCAGACTCCGCTAATGGGCTGGTTTTTGCTGAACTGTTTTCTTCTCTTTTTTTTTTGTTACAAGGGACAACTTTCTGGGAAGGGAAAAGGGAAAAATATTGGGAAATTACAGTTTTATAAAAACAAGATATCAGAAAAAATTTGCAGAGAAAAAATGGAATTACCTCATTTTTAAAAGTGTGAATTCTTTGAAAGAATCAGGAACTTTTTGGTTTGTAGATAATCTTAAAAGGTGTAACATGAAATAAAGTACTCCATCATATTAAAATCCAAAGAGCATGAAAACATATTTCTGTTAATAAAACACAGCTAAAAACATGTAACTCTAAGAACAAGTTGACAGCAATACCCACTACACAATCATCATAAAAATTACATCCAAGCAGCAAATTCATTATTATAGTCTTATACAAGAAAAAGCAAAACTACATTTTAAGTGAGCCATATCTGGGACAAGAGACAAACAGATAGATGGGAGTACAGCTCGGATCAGAGATGGCAGTCACCAGAGCACAGGGACTTCAGTGTTATAAGACACTTGATCAAAGAAAAAAGGAAAGTTCTATTGGAGGAGCCTGGATTTTAATTATGAAAATTTATGCTGGAAAAAAGGCTTCAAAAACAGAAATCAACAAATGATTATGTGTGGCAGGTAACCATGCTATTTCTTCATATTTTTTCTAAAAATTATTTTGGGTCCTACTGGTGAGTAGGGTGTACTTTTTATTCTACCCTGAAGAGAAATGCATTTAAAATGTACTGTTTAAATACATTTTGATTTTAAAACATGTAAAAAACCTAAGTGATCTACTTAAGATCACAGAAGGAGTCTTCTGAAAATGGCTAGTATGACACTCAAACTGAAATTTGTAATGGACTGAAATGGAATAATAGGTAGTGATGAAGACAACTACAAATTATGGACAGCGGCAAAAAAACAAACAATTTCTCCTAAAAAAATAAAATAAAATGAAGTCACATTTAGAAGGACTATAAAATACTAATGAGAATTTTTAAAAATTTTGCTATAACTTTTGAAAATAGTTTGGATTCTTCCAATTCTTCCAAATGCTAAGGCTTCATCTTATAAGTCAAATTTCTCTTTTAGCTTAAGAGAAATTGGGTAACTTCAGGATATTTGGTTAATAATTTTATCTCTAATTATCTTTTTAAAAATTCCATTACAGTATGTTGAAAACTATTCACTGATTAAGTAGGTCAGACAAGTGATTTCTTCTACAATCCCACAAGAATAAAAAAAAGGACGAAATAAACTATTCCCGGTACTCTCAAAGGGCTATCCATTCCATAGTAGTTTTCAGCACAGTGGCACTGGCACTAAGCAAACCACGCAATCCTGACTTGATCTGTAAGATTGGTACTGTCTTACTAAACAAACATGCGATTACCTTAAAGTGAATAATCCCTCACTTAAAGTACATAAGCACTACTTGTGTTAGCAGAAATAAAAATCAGCCAAGTGTTTGCTGCGATGTATGTTTTAATTCAAAGTGAGTCTTGACAGTGATACACCAGAAATTCTTATTTTTGACACTCACCAAAATATAGTCACTTGAAAAACCCGCTTTTTGTGACAAAGTACAGAAGGCTTGGTCACATTGAAATCACTGAGAACTAGAGAGAAATACTATCGCAAACTCTAAGACACATTACAGCCATAAAAATTTTTTCCCAGTCCTTATTGTAATATTGCACAGTGCAACTGCTACATGACAAACTAGTGTAGCACAGAAATAAGAGCAAACCCAACCAACCAATGAGAGAGACAAAGGAAGAGGGGCAGAGGAGGGCTGGAAGGTGAGGCCAGAGGGAGAGAGACATGGAGGAGAGGGAGAGCGAGAGCGAGAGCGAGAGCGAGAGCGAGAGCGAGAGCGAGAGAGAGAGAGAGAGAGAGAGAGAGAGAGAGAGAGAGAGCGAGAGAGAGAGAGAGAGAGAGAGAGAGAGAGAGAGAGAGAGAGAGAGAGAGAGAGAGAGAGAGCGCCACAAGTCTACAAATTGTTACACAGGTAACAGTTAAAATTCAATACTCAAGTCTACATCATTGGGCTTATTCAAACAATATCTTCCTACACCTTGCAGTGTGATTTAACTTTGACATAACAAAAATCAAGTTAAAATTAGCAGTAGAAATTTAAAACATTAAAATCAAAAGATTTAGCTGATACAGTAGCATATCTGATTAAACACCCTGAAAGATAAAAATTGATCAGGCATTTTTATAAAAATAATTTGAAAATTAAATATAGTATGCAAATATGCAACTCTGTAGTCATGCAGTGTTTTATTTAAAAAGGCATTAAAACCAACAAAGAAAATATTTATAAATGGTTTAAAGAAGGGTAATATTTTTCCAGAAGTTTTCTTAAAAATCCATTTGCTTAATTTAGATGAAAGAATTGCCAAAGAAATTTGCATTAGTTCAAAATGCAAATGATTACAATGCATAAAGAGTAGCATATTTAACTGGGGGACATCTGTAACAAATTTCATTGTATTTTAAGACAACATTAAGGTTTTGAGTTCACTTGTCAATGTATCATCACAGCCTCACAACTTAAAACACAAGGAAATAAAATACATCAGAGCAATGAAAGTTGCATGGCCCCAAACAAAAAGAAAACAGTTACTGTTGGTGTCCCCAACACAACCATTGCCAGCAATGGATTTTGCGTCGAGAAAATCTGATTCCCAGGACCAAGTGGCAGAAATCAACAATCTGCTGGATTATATAAATAAAATAAGACTGTGACTGCACATGACAAGTTCATTTAGATATTTTCTTGACTCCATAAATTTATGCTTGTTTATATGTGTAAATCATATTTAAATTCATCTCAGGCTACTCACTTTTTGATGTCTATTTTATATACAATTAACTTTGTATAAAATGCATAGAGTTGGTTACTAAAAACACTGAAACTTGTGGGAAAAATTAAGCTCCTTCGTTTTCAGTGTATCTAAAAATGTACTGCTGGTATTATTTTGTGATCTAATACTGTTGTTTGTTTTTGTTTAAAAATCAATTTTAGGCACATTTATTTCACCTAGATATTCATTAAATAAAACACTGCTTGTGTTAATGGAGTAAAGAAAAATATATCCCTTATTAGCTTACTGACAACTCGGTAAGACAGCTGTACTAGTGGTATGAAATTCATTCATTTAAAGAAATGCTCAAATTTCAAAACATTTGGGGAGTTTAAAACTCAAATGCTTTGTTTGCACTGTTTATTCCAGTAAATGTTCTAAAGACTGTATTCCAGATTTTGTTTCTTAAAAAGAAAGTTAAGTCAAGCCTGCAAGATACAGCTTCCAAGTGTCTACGCAATGCCAGTATGAAAACGTAAAAATAATTAAGTTACATCGATATATCCCATTTATATGCAGCGATGAGTTCAAAAGTTAATGTTGATAAAATACTGATGCAAGTAACACACACCAAAATAACATAGGCAATCACCTTCCATCATTTACAATACAGTAGTTACAATGACACTCCAAACAAGAAAGCAAAGTATCAATCAAAATCCCCACTTCTATTTCATTCAATCAGACTTACACAGAAATTAGAAAGCTCAATAAGAACTAGTTAATCATCTAATTTCACAGCTATCTGAAGTGGCAATCATTATATAGCAGCTTATCTATGATACATTCAAGATAAATGATAAATCTTATTACTTGCCCATAAGCTAAAACACAGCCTCATTTTAATATCTTTCCCTAAATCCCATCTCTAAACTATGATATACTTGAGGTCTATGCAAAAAAGTAGCTACCTTTTTATAGGAAATGGATGATTAAGTCTTTGGTGCTGCAAAAGCAACTTCATTTAAACAGAACCACACACAATCACACACACACAATCACACACACAAGAAGAAAAAGAAACCCAAGACACACTTTGTGGGAAAAAAAAAAGCACGTAAAATTTCTTGTCCCTGACGGAATGTATTAAATAAGCACACACCACCAACAGGCTAAAACAAATACCATTGTGTAAAACGGTTAAAAGCTCTCACATGCATAAATGAAGGATTTCACACAAAGGACTCACATCTTTTCAAGCTTCAATAGTAAATATTCTGCTACTATTTATTAAATACTGCATGGTTTGCTCAAGCTAAGATGAAATCACATCATGAATCAACAAGCATTTTGCACTTCCTTTCCTTATCTCGTCCCACATTATGCCTCCTGCACCTCTAAACGTCCTAGGAAATCCACATAGACGGAACCCTTCCAAAATAAACTCCTTGGATTGTATTGCAGTTCCACTAAGCAGTATAAAATGCTGAGTTGTGAGAGTTTACTTATCATCTATCCATAAGATACTGAATCAACTTTTCATAAGCATTACTAACTGCTTGCTTTTCTTCAAACTAGATCATTTAAAAAAAATGAGACAGCAGAATTTGGCTATAGCAAAACATGCTGCCCTCTTGATAAGGAAAAAACACCCACTACCAAAAACTATACCACACAAAACCAAAAATGAACATCACTCTACCAAAAAAAATCAGCAGATCTGAATTTTAAGTGCTGCAGTCCTCAACATTTATATATATGTAGTAACATTAACAACCTCAAATATTTAAGGCACTATGTGTGGGAACAGTTTACAATGCAGCTGAGATTATTAGGACAACATTTAAGAGCAATGTCTAGGCAACATTTTGCCCATGCAAGACACATGCAAATGTGAGAACAATAGCTCGCCTTTTTTAGATAGGTGACCCAACGTTTAAATACCAAGACATAGATAATAACACAAACAGTTTACTTGTACACTGTACGTCTGACACATGTGCATCTGTTGCTCTAAATCTGTACACTGAATGGCTTCCCAAATGTAGACGTGTCTTGCACTAAGCAGAAGGCAATTTTATAAAAAATAATAGGAGCAAACCCGGACTTCGGCTCCCAAAAGTCACCTGTCTAAGTAACTGTATAAGAGAACATGACCAAAGACAAGTTATACCAAATGTGCAAAACACATTAAAAGTGAGTTTTTTTTAAAGCTCAAAGTTGTTTAAATTGCACCCAAGTCTACATGATTCAAAAAATAATTTTCTTGTGCCATGGCTAATATTTATTAAACACCATGTTTTTGTTTTTAATCCATTTGCATCACTGAATTTCCTCAATATACTGTATTTGAGTTCTCACATATATGGATATTGGCTAAGTTTTGTTGGACTCAACGGAAATCCAGTGTAAGTAGGCGATGCTGCAATGTAAGAATGTGGTGGGAAGATTGGTTTGTACTGAGTCTGATGAATGGTTGGGGAAGGTAGCAGACGGGGATTTATTCCCACTGGGACTTGGTGAACTATGCCATTGGGATGAGAAATACTGTAGGTTGGATGCTGTAATATGGGTCTTGAGGTACATGGAGAGGCCAAGAGGTGGGTGACTGGTGCAGCAGTAGCAAGGGGTGCAGCTGGCGGGTACGGAAGAAGAGCAGGCTGCCCTGCGCGAGGCGCGGTCCCAGCCAGAGGGGCACGCACCACTGTGTGGCTTGGGCTCCCCTGTGACAGGGCAAAGGGGTGACTGCTGACAGTAGCTGGGACATAAGCTTGCTGTCGCCGATGGCCGTAGTTTCCATTCCACTCCTGATGCCCAGATCCAAAGTGCTGAACCTGTCCATCAAGAAAAATGACTGATTGTTATACATAAGAATAAAATTAATTCTAGAAATGTGGCAAAATTAAGACATAAATTCATGGATGGGTAACACATATACTGCCTGGATAGATCACAATCCCTCTCCGCCTAAATAAGACAGTACTTGTCAGTTGAAGGGACCAAAATTTTAAAAAAGCATTCCCTGGTGGCTAATCCTGTGAGCTAATTACCTCTAAAGTTAATTAGGCTTGCAAGTTCTTGGATGCAAGACACACAGTCCATTACCAGGCCTATGAAGGAAGACTTTAGAACCTAGGAGAAGAGCCTGTGCTCCAATGGCATAGCCAGGATGAGGCACTGGAGTAGAACTGTAGTGTCCATATGCTAATCACTGATTAAGCAGGGACATAGGATTTAGAGCTCTAAGTGGACCTTAGGAGATGATCTAGTTCACTCTCCCTCATCATAAAAATGAAGAAAACTGAGGACTTTGAGGCCTGTAAGTCTCCCAACTGTAATGGTTGGGTGCTTTATAAATTCATGTTATCCAATCTCAACTGGACTCCCACTGCAACAAGGTAGTCTTCCCTTTCCTCCCTGATTCTTTATTTCACTTCCCAAAGAAGCTATGTGAAATCTTTTTAGCCTCATCCCTCTCAGCTGAGGGCCTTGAACCTTATCTTACTAAAAAAACCTGAGACCATTCCATTTGAACTCACTCTTTTTCCATTTTCCTCATCTCCCATTCTCTCCTCTTTTTCCCCAGTCTGTGACAAAGAGGTAGTCCTTTTCCTTGCCAAGGCCAACTCCTTATCTGTACACCAGCTCTCATCCCCTTCTGCCTTCTCCAAAAGACTGCATCCTCAATCACCTCAAATCTTTAGCCTCTTCCTTGCAACTGTTTCCTATCTTGTTTCAGACATGCTCAAATCCTCCCCAATTCACAATTCACAAAAAAATCTGTATCTATCCTTATCTCCTCAAGCCATCATCCTAAACCTCTCCTCCCTTTCTCAGCCAAACTCCTGCCCCCATTTCTTTCTCCTTCCCCTTACTCCTCAAAATTTAGTAATCTGGCTTCTCACCTGATCACTCAACCAAAATAGTTCAAAATAATTCTCTCCAAAGTGACTAATGATCTTACTGGTCTTTTCTTAGTCCTAATTCTTTTGAATGTATTTGCTCCATTTGAAATTGTGGAGCACTGCTTCCTCCTGAGCATTCCCTCCATCTGAGTCTTTAGGCACACTCCTCTCTCCTGGTTTCCCTCCTATCTGTCTGACCACCCCTCCTCTTCTTTGCCTGGCTCATCACCTATAACTACAGGTATTTCCTAAGTTTCTGTCCTAGACTCTCAGGTCCAAAAAGTTGGTAATTATCCTGGAGTCCTCACTCTCATTCACCCCATATATCTACCCAGTTGCATCTCTCACATCCAACTCCTTTCCCCCTACTCACACAGATATCACTTTACTTTAGGCCCTCACTACCTCTTGCCTAAATAATAATAAGTCTTCTCATTGGTATCCCCACCTCAAGTCTTTCCCCACTCCAGTCCATCCTCCACACTGTCACCAAAGTAATTTTCCTTAAGCACAGATCCAACCATGTTGTCACTTCCTCCTCCACCAATGCCCGTGGCTCCTTAATGCATCTAGACAATAAATTCACTATTTAGTACTTAAGAGTCCTATACAACATGGACCCAACCTCTCTCAACTTGCTAAATATTACTTCCCCTAACTCTGATCATCTCTGTCCCTTCCTGCCTGGAAGGGCTCTCCTACTTGCCTCCATTTCACAGAGCTCCTCTCTTCTTCCCTGATAGCTCAGGCACCATCATCTGCATGAAGCCTTTCTTGATCCTCCCAAGTGCTAGTCCTCTCCCTCCCACACTACGTTGGTCTTTAACAATTTTGTATATATTTATATTTATTCATTTTATACTTAGGCTATGGGAATGAGGTTTTTATGTAAACTTCTTGGCTTCCCTAAGAGCTCACTGATAATAGAGACTGTTTCATTCTTTGTCTTCTATCCCCACTGCCCAGAAAAATTCCTGACATACGGTAGGTGCTTAATATCTGGAGATGGAATGATTGTCAACTAAGTGTGACCAAAGTCACAAAGGTAGTAAGAAGAGCTGGGATTCTTTCCTAGGAGCTCACACTCCAAATCCAGTGGCCCTTCCATCAAACCACAAAGAAAAAAATATCCTGATTTATACATACATTTTGTTATTTTTTAAAAATGCTTAAACACTAGGACAAGTTAAACACAGTAATTAAGCACTAGAAGAATGACCTAACTACCAATAATGCAACCTAGAATAAGTGAATCAAAATACTGAGACCAAAGTGCTCAAAACAGAACAAGAGGGAATAAAATAACCTGACAATCTAAAGACCAGAACTTTTTTATAGAAGTATTCACAATCTGAAGATCCTTAATTTAATCTTCCAACTACTGTGCCTATCATACTTGAATTAAGATAAGGAAAAGGGTGAGAAAAAAAATCTATCAATGCATTATACATTTCTAGGGCCTCTTTACAAAGTAAAACACAGCTGATGAATTACAAAACCAGTAACAACAAAAGAGTTCATGAATAAACACACCTGACCGAAATTCAAATGTTGCTGCTGGGATGCTGTTGTCAGTTTTTGCTGACGGTTACTCATAGTAGAGGGCTGGTTTAATCTTCCAGGAGCAGATCGACCTTTTCCTAGTGGCTGACATGTGGAATCTGGCAATAAAGAAAATAGTACAGAGTTGGTACATTTCCTTCTCTAAGAAAAATCTGAACAGCCTTTAGATTTCTTGACATTCTGCATAGTTGCCCCAAATCTTAAAATTAAGAAAGAAGAAGGCTTTTATGGGCATACTTTTCCAGACCTTACAATGGCATAGGAAACTAGTGGAAAGAAATCTACATCAGCAACAAGACACTTGTTTCAGAAAAAAAAGTTTAGTCCTTTCGAAAAGGACAAGGAGAAGGGCCAGGGAGAGAGAAGAGCCTGTTTTACCTGTATTTGCCATACGCTCCTCTGAATCCAGGCCATTTTCCATTCTCCCTGGAGGTCCCACCACGGCACACACAGCTGGTTTGGCTTCTGGGTCAACAGCTGCTACTGACTCTGTAATTTGAGGGGAGTCTTCTACAAAGCTGCTGTCTCCAAATGGGCTGTCATGTCCTGAAGAGTCTGAGGTTGGGGAGCCATCCACTGTATCACAGCCACTCTCCTGTTCATCATCTGACATACTAAAACAAAAGGCATTTTTATGAAAATACTTTCTCTACTATTGGTAATAAGTAAGCCTACGTGAAATCTAGGCACCAATCAGAACACTGAATCCCAAACATGTTATTCAGGATATGATACAGATTTTCATGCCTATCATGTACTCAATTTCTTTACATTATTTCTATAGTAGATCCTTATCAAACAGTTGAATCAACTGAATGTCTAATTCTCTACATTCTTTCTCCCTTAAAAAGATTACCATCCTCAAATCTCTGCCTTTCCATAACATCCAGACGATTTCATGGGCTATGTGAGCTATGCCTTCAAGGGTACCAATAGATATTATGGGAAGAAAGACAACTAATGAGTTAAAATTAGAATGGAATTTTTTAGAATCAGCTGTAACCTAAATAATCACATCCATAGATACTGTTTCATCTGGCCCGGATGGTTTCTCCCTCTTCTGAACCCCTACAGTACTTATTGTATGTACCAATTATTATATTACATCATTATATTACCAATGACTATGCAAGTCACACATGGCAGTACACATAACTTTATATGTATACTCCTTGTGTCCCTATATGGATTATAATCTATTTTATTTTATTTTTGATGAGGCAGTTGGGGTTAAGTGACTTGCCCGGGGTCACACAGCTAGTAAGTGTCAAGTGTCTGGTCTGAGACCAGATTTGAACTCAGGTCCTCCTCAGTCCAAGGCCTGAGTTCTATTCACTGCACCACCTAGCTGCCCCGATAATAATCTATTTTAAAGTGAGGAACCCTTTATCCATCTTTGTAACTATTAACAACTACTAACAGTGCCTTGTACATAGAGTGGTATGCACTTAATAAATATATCTGCTAATTGGGTACTGAGAAAAAACAACAGATAAATACATAAAAATAAGGTTGAAATCTGAATTTAACTTTCAGCTGCCACTAAAAAATTCATTTTTTAGTTTCAAGCTAAAGTCAATTTATTTCACTTAAGTTTCTGAATAATTTTCAGTTAGCTAGATATGCTGGTAAGAAGAGGCCCACTCATGCTAGCTACAATATGCAGTCTTTGTTGAATGAATGAAGCATTAAAAATATACCTCTGTTCAAAAGGCCTGAGCAAAAGAATATTCACTGAGCAATGCCAATCAATCACCACTTCTAGGAAATAAAGTAATTTAAAGCCTCTCCCATGAGACAACAGGGCAATTAATATCTTTAGCTTACAAAGAAGGCACTTTTTTCTTTTTCAGTTTCATCATATACAGTTCGGCATATATTTTATTTTTAAGATAAAGTGGCACATGAAATAAAACTTGCTAGTCGGGCTTTCCTACGCTCTCAAAAATCATGTGGCATTTAACAGAACTTTACTTCTCACTCTTCTAAAACAATTTAGGAAATTCCCACCACTAAGTGGGTTTTTTAAAAACGTCATCTAATCCAGTTTATTTGAGAGAAGTTGTCAGTACAGTAACAGAAAGCCAGCTTGCTGCAGAATCCTTTCCCATCCATGGTCCACCACGAGGGCTCATTCATAGACCCACCGTCCCTTGCATTTCCCAAGTCTCAGGATTTTTACTTTAATTTATTTTTAAGGGGCATGACCTAGGTGTGGCCCTTCTGCTGAGTTTTCTTTACCTGTTAGGTCTCTTGCCAGGAGATGGACTGGACTGGTCAGAGGAACTGGTGCTTAAGGTGCTATCAGGGCTGCTTAATGAACACATGCGATCAATATTCAAAGTGCTCTGACAAGCTTCACAATCTAAACTACCTTTACAGCTGAAACAGAGGAGAGAACATAGGTCACAGAGGCTGAAAGTTAACACTCTTTATTCCCATTACACAGCTGGAAATATAGGCAGCCACCCAAGCAAAGTGATCTTTGAAGGACCTAGAAACTCTGCATTCATTCTATTAAATGCTATCTACTGTCTTTCCATTTTTGAGGACCCAGTCCTTTCATGTGAAGAATTTCTAACATTATTAAAACAGCAGAGAGGCATTATGGCATAGTGGACAGAGAACTGGCCTCAGAGTCATGAAGACTTGAGTTCAAGTTCTGCTAGTAACACATGCTAGCTGTGTGATCCTGGGCAAGTCACATCCTCATAGTGCCCCAGGATACTCCCTAACTAGAAACTGCAGCAAAGTTGTTGACGGGCACTGATAGAAGTAGTTTCCTCACTAGGATCTCTTCATCAAGAAAATCACAGGCCTACACCTTCATTAAAGAAGCAAGGAATTTCAAGGGAACAGAATAACTTTACAATTAACTTTTTCATTAGTTCTAAAATAATGAAATCTGAATGACGGTTTTCTGTATCTACCCCAAAGAGCTCGACAGACAAGGAATGCCCTGCCCCAGTCTAGAGGGCGCCATTCTCCTTAAGGGACATCCTGAAGAACAACAATAATAATCCTCCTTTCAGGACACTTACTTTCTAACCGAATGACTTTGTGCTGCATCCTCCTCATCAGTGTCACTACTAATAGTGATCACGCTCACTACAGGGCTTGGGGTGTCAGTAATGAGGACAGCGTCCCGCTGCTTGTCAGAAGTTGACGAATCAGGGTCCTCCCTCAGTGATGCTTTGCAACCATTTCTTTCTTCTGAGTTATGATTGTCCTGTGTTTCTGTGCAACTTACTCGCTCAACTGCTTTCATATTTATTATCTTTGGAGAAATAAATGCTGAATTGGGAATATTGGTATTCTGCAAAGAATTACTCCTGTAAAAAAATTAATCATTCATTTCTATAGAGACTCATTTAAAAGACACTTGTAAGATATCTTAATAAACAAAATATAAGATCATGCATGATATACATTCACATACAGAACTTAAGTCTTCACACAAATATAAAACATAATCATTATTAGCATAATTACCATTAACATGGTAAAATACACTCATGCCCAAATCAAAAGGCCATTTTTTGTAGATACATTTTAATGCTCTAAGTTACCAATGTCATAGGCAAATAATAGATCAAAAGTGCAATAAAAGCCATCTTACCAAGTGAAAGCATTTATTTCCTCTCTTCCTGGCTCCCATTCCATTAGTTTTACCAAAATACCTCTGAGAAATTAAGAAGGGAGCTAGCTTAGTGTTTGTTTTTAAACAAACGAGATTATTTCTAATACAACACAAGTGGCCCTTTTGTGCACATGCAAAAATTTATTCCCCAAATGATTAAACCACCTACCCAACAATGCTAAATACCAACCTGTTCTGACAGAGTTTATTTTTCTTGGTAGAAGCAGGCTGAGGCCAGACAACATGTGCGATGCCCACACTGATTGGCTGAGGGGCCGAAAGAGTTATCTGATTGGCTAAAAGTGGTTGAGGGATCACTGAATTATAATGATTGCTGTGTGAAATCATTTTCCTGGGGAGAAATTTTAGAAATGTTTAATAATTTCTGAAGGAAAATCAATTTTGAAAGTTTTGCAAAAATCTATCCTTTTTAACTTACCCCCAGTCTCCAAGTCTTTGTGGACCTGCCACAGTCTCAGAAGTCAGTGCTACAGTAGAAGGGCCTACATGTGTTACTTGCTGCCAGGGGGGTACCAAGATCTGTTGAGTTCGATTAGACCAAGTCTGCTGAATAAATAACCACTCATGAAGCAAAGAGTAATCCTTTACACAAACTTAAAACCTTAAGAAAAAACTAGTAACCTACAAATGCTGAAATCTAATCATTTACAGAAGCATTCAATCACCATAAACACTAGTTTCCACAAGTTTTCACAGCCATAGGGCTGGTCTAGTAGGTGGAGATTCATAAGGAAAGGAAAGGAAATAAGTTTCAAATGCTAAATTGACCAACCTGAGAAAGAACACCTGGCCGGATCTGTAATGGCTGAATGGGTGGGGCCTGAGTTACCAGTGGAACTGCATTATCTACCCTTAATGAATAACTGCCAGCTTTAGTAGGGTTTGTAGGAATACCTATGAAAGAGAAAATCTGCATAAGAACTTATGCTCATAAGAACTACAATGAAGAAAAATGAAAGCATTTTAAATTCAACTGGATGGGATTAATAACCCTCATGCTAAGTTCTCTGCACACAAGCTTTTCATACCATTGACAAATGCAATTTGTTAGAAAAGAGGTGTCCACTTATTCAAGCACTTGATTACCAATTTCTTTTTCAAACTGATTTTCTCTATTGTTAAAAATACATATTGCAAAAAAAGAATTTCATTTTCAGCCCTCAAAAGTTTATCATTTCCATTAAAAGTTAGCTATTAAAGCTGTTGCTTTTTTTTTTTAAGACCCTTAAGAAGGATCCTAGCATGTTTGGGTAGATCTTCTCTGGTTCTGAAGAAAACATGGACAAGAATCATACAGGATGAAAATAATGTTTACAATCTCCATTAGCAGAGGGAGTACCCACACCAGTTAAGATCATGGAACTATTAAAATATTGAAGCATTACAGCTTAGTTTTGCTTCCCACATTCTTCTGGCTACTATGTGAATGAAAGATTTTCCTAATTGCCTCAATGACCCAACACCAAAGATTCTTTTTCAAAAACTGATGATACATTTAGTTACATTTTCTTACTATTTTACCCTTAAAATTGTGACATCAAGATCTTCTTGGTAATGTCTTATATAAGCATTCCTGTTTGTTTGGCTTTTTTTTTTCATTTAATGTAATGTAAACAGAAAAGCATTTGGAAAAAGTGGGATATATGTGGTATATCAGAATACTCAAAGGATCCTATCTGATTGTGTGCCTACCCCTATTTTCTGCTTCCTTCTGAAAAAGATCTCTAACAGAAATTCCCTTCAAGACATCTGAAAAATGGCAGGAAAACAAGAAATTACTTTTTCTACTTTTTCTCACATAAAAGTGGGATTGTAGCCAATATGCCCTAATCCTAAGAAAAAAGAAGAAACACTGAGAGGCCAGTGATTAAAGTGTCACCTCTTCTCTAATCAAAATGTAAATGAGGTGGCTAGGTTACTAGCAAGCTAGAGTACAAAGTAAAGCTAGTTTAAAACAAAAAGTATATAAAACATCAACAGATAATATCTCACACAGAGTAATGAAAAGGAATTTTCTCTTAAGACACAAAAACGAATTTCCTCAGCGAATAGGTGCATGCATGATACTGAAGAATCAAAGATCCAAGTAAAGACACTAAAATTAATCCACAAAACATTGTTAATGTCTTAAACACAGCAAATCATTTTGTAAACATTAAGCATCAAAACAATTTTATGTGACAAATAAGTAACATGATCTCCAATTTACAGCTATGAGACCTTCAGTTACATTTCCTGAGATTTCACAAGACAATAAGCTAAAATAAACACTTCTCTAGACCTCCAGTCGTCCATCACATAAGTTACTTTCCACATGGACTAGCAAGCACATTTCAAATACAACCAATCCCTGGAAGCAATCATGTGATTTTCTGGACAGTCTAGACAGCCAAAATGTGTTTTCCTTTTCTGTTAAAGTGTAATCTTGATAATTGTATTGCACAGAGAAATCATAAATGGTTATCCCAAGAAGCACATTAACATCATGTGTTCCCTTGTGTATTTTCTTCACATAGTCCTATGTTCTATGGCTTGAGAATATTTTGCCTCTATAACTACTAAAGATTCTGTAAGTATGTCATAAGTAGATGCGAATTATTTCAAGAAAAATCTATAGATTTTTACTGATCTTCTTACCCCTTCCAAAAAGCATGTCTTGATCAGCAAATTCTCCAAGAAAGGGAATATAAGCACACCCAGGCACTGAAGGTACATTGCAGCAATGAATAATCTCTTCAGAGAAAAAAGCAGAATTCACTTTGATAAGAGTAATAGGGCAGAGCCAAAATTATTCTCAAACCCACCACACCAAAATCACCAAACACTAAACTTCTTTCCAAAATCCATTACCCACAAAAGTCTTCCTTTGTCAAGGCCACTATGAAGTCTGACCTTCTAACAATGGGCAAGATTTTAATTTACTACAAATCTAGGTTAACTAAAATCCTTACTACTAGTCAATTAGATTTGCTTTAATAAATACTTAGGAAGTATAATCATCGCTATGATAAAAGAAAGAGAACTTTGCTGTATTGCATTTAAATATCTCATACTTTTCATAAACAACTGCAAACATTTGTACAAAGAACATGCCCTGAATTCAGGCAGACTGGTGAGAAAGATGCTAAAAGCCATTTCTCACTAAGTAATAAGAACATATTCCTCAGTCTCATATCTAACTTTTTTTTGCTTTTTTTATTACTGAAACTTAAATACATAATAAGAAAAAGAAACCTATTATAAACTAAAATATTGAAACTTAAACACAAAATAAGAAAAGAAAAAAGCATGTCATGTGCACATCAGAACATAAGAGAGGATTCAAAATATATAGCAACAAATTTCCATTTCAAGAAAGCCTATATAATAAATATTACACATTGTGTTGAGAGCTGTCCATCTTCTTTTTTGCTCCCTTGTTAGTTTTCTTTTGTTCTCTGCTGTGTACTTTTTACTTTGTTCTTCTCCCTCCCTTCCTCTCCCACCCAGAAGGCTACAATTAAGCACATATATTTATATAGATATAAACACACACACACACACACACACACACACACACACATATACATATATAGACATATCCTTTCTCTAACAAATTCTACTTCTGATCTTTTGTTTTTATATTTGTGTGTATCTCTTATCTCCTATTCCTCCTAACTCCTCTACTTTACTTCTCCCCAATACCTTTCCCTCCTTTTACTTAACCTATACCCCTCCTTTAACCTATTCTCTCACCCTCCCCTCTAGAGACCCCTCCTTTATCCTCTCTCCTCTCCCTATCCCCTTAGCATTCCCTTAGCATTTTATTTCTGAATTTATAAGAATTTTATGCTCTTCTAGATATATGGGTATTGTTCCCTCTTGAACCCATTCCCAATGAGGGTAGGGTTCCATAACTAACAGCCCTCTTCCCTCATCTAATTCCTCTGTGTTGGTTCTTCTTCTCACACATCATTTATATAATAATTATTCTTTTTAGCTATTCCTAAATGGTTTAACTTTTTAAAATCCTATCACACTCAGATCTGCCCTAATCTTTCTTACAATGTACCCAATTACTAATAACCATCTCAGACATGTGTTTTACATTTTACATACATAAAAGATTATCAGTCTGTCCTTCTTGAGTCCCTTGTAATTGGTCTTTGGTATGTACCTTATATTTCTCTTTGCTGTTGCATGTGAAATCTTCTATTAAGTTCAGGTTTTTATTGTTGTTGTTCTTTTGTTTTTGTTTTTTTTAACAAAGTCCTGAAAGTCTGACAGTTCATTAAATATCCACTTTTTTTAAAATTCAGGATTATGCTTAGCATGGCTGGGTATATTTTCAGCCAGAACCCCAGTTCTTTTGCTCTTTGATATAGTGTTCCAAGATGTGTGTTCTTTTAGAGTCACCATTGCAAGGCGTGATTCTAATTGTGGTACTGCCATATTTAAAATTGCTTTTTTTTCCTTGTTGCTTGTAATATTTTATCCTTGAGTTGGGGGTTTCGGAATATGGCTATAATATTCCTATCTTTTTCAGGTGGTGATCAGTGGATTTTTTCTATTTCTACTTTCCCCTCTTGTTACGATGCTTCAGGACAATTTAATTATTTCTTGTATTATTGTATTAAGATTCTTTTTTTGATCATAGCTTTCAGGTAATCCGATTATTTTTACGTTTTCTCTTCTTCACCTGTTCTCCAGATCAGCTGTTTTTGTTAATAAGATGTTGCACGTTATCTTCTATTTTTTCACTCTTTATATTTTGTATTATTATTTCTTGATCTCCTATAACTTCACTGGCCTCCCCTTGCTCAATTCTGATTTTCAAGGAGTCATTTTCTTCCTTAAGATTCTGGATCTCCTTCCCTAATTGGCTGACTTTCTTTTCATAATCTTCTTGTTTTTCTTGGAGTGTTTTTTTTTAAGTTTTTCCTCAATCTCTATCATTTGATTTTTAAAGTCTTTTTTAAGTTCTTCTATGAATTCTTTTTGAGCAGGTAACCATTTGACGTTACTCTTTGGGGCAGAAGAGGGTTTCTCTGCTTCAGTATCCTCCTCTGAAGATAAACCCCAGTGTTCTCTACTCCCATAGTAACTTACAGTTGGATTCTTTCTCCTTTGCTTGTACTTTTTTTTTTATTTGCAGTAGCTTAGTTTTTATAATCACCTCTAGTCCTGGGGTATGGTGGATGGTGCCTCTGGCCTCAGATCCTCCCTCAGTTCTCCCCTTAGAGGCAAAATCTCCAAACTCCTGTAAGTGCCCACAGTGAGCAGGGTCCCACCCCACTGCTTCTGCACTCATCTGAAGTGTGCTGGTTTCCTTCTTGCTCCTGCCATGTTTCTGCAGCACTAGCTGAGTCTGGCATTCCTTGTCGACAGAAGTTCCCTTGATCTTCCCCAGCTCAGACACCCCTTACGGTCCAGGGGGAAAAGTCCCTGTGGCCAGAGGCAGCCTTCCAACCCAGCTAACCACAGGACTTGCTACCACTTGTTGTTTAGGCAGATCTAGGACCTAGCCTGGAGGGCTTTACTCTTCACAGAGACTACACCTCTTCCTGGGATTTTTCTTCAGATCTCTGATTGTCCCAAGAGGGTCCCTACTCTTCTCCTAGTCTTATTTCTTTTTACTGCTCAATATTCACCCTGAGGCATTATTTCATCTCTTTTGTGGGGGAAAATCTTGAGAGCTTGGAATTTTCTGACCTACTCCACCATCTTTGCAGAATCTTCTCTTCATATCTACCTTAATATTCAATATTGAAGAATCAATGCTGTCATTAACTAAAGATCTCATTATCTGTTGTTCATCAAAACCTAACCAACTTCCACACTTTCCTATTTCTGTTGAGGGACTCCCAATCTTCTAGTCACTTAGATTCTTAACCTTGGAGTCATCCCCGACTTTTCACTAACTCCATGTCTTGTCAAATGCCAAGTTTTCTCAATTCTTCTTCTATAACATTCTCTTGCAAGTGTCTCTTTCTCTCCCCCCACAGAGCTCTCTAGCATATACTACTGCTAGACTTGTAACTGAACTTCCTGCTAGAGTTTACTCACAGATCTTGAGCTCGTTTTAGTTCCTTAACTTTTATTTTTTTCATTTAACAATTTTTTTCTCCTTTCCACCCCACCCCCTTAAAGAAAAAAGACTTTGTAACACATATGCAGAACCAATCAAAACAAATTCGTACTCGGTTATGTCCAAACATTTCAATTTCATTCTGCTTTGAGAGACTTTAACCTCTCTGTATTAAAAAGCAACTAGAATGTTTCACGATCAGCAGGGTTGGTCACTATATTGATAAGGGTTCTCAAGTTTTTCCAAGTTGTCATTACAATGTTTTTGTTGTTACTATATAAACTGTTTTCCTGGTTTTGCTCACTTTACTATGTATTAGTTGATACAAGTCTTCTCAGGTTTCTTTCACAATTTCTTTCAACACCATTCATACACCATGACTTGCTCAAGTTATTTCTCAAATCAATAGGCACCCCCCTTCCTGACTTGGTTTCTAGTTCTTTGCCACTACAAAAAAAAGGAGGCTATACATATTTTTGTACACATGGCTCCTTTTCCTCTTTCTTTCATGTATAGGTCTAGTAGTGCTACTGCTAGGTCAAAGGATATGCACACTTGAGTAACTCTGAGCATGATTCCACATTGCTTTCTAGAACAGCTGGACCAATTCACATCTACCACCATGCATCAACAAGCCTGTTTTCCAGCTGCCCCAATGTTATCTGTCATTTCCCCTTTCTGTCAACGTTGTCCATTTGATAGGTGTGACATACAACATCAGAGTTGCTTTAATTTGCATTTATCTAATTATCAGTGATTTAGAATTTCTTTTCACATAGCTGTTGACAGCTTCAAGATGATACAAAAGAGGCCCAGGTCAGTTAAGTGAGTTGCCTGAGGCCACAGGACCGTATATTTGGAGCTGGAAGCCATCTCAGAAGCCACCAAATCCAATCTTCTTCTTTTACAGATTAAGAAAATTATGGAGGAGAGGTTCCATGTCCTGCCCAGGGTCCTCCAGGTATTGTCAGAGGGGCCAGTTGAACTCAAGTTCTGACCCCACAGTTATTTCTCCTTCCATTTGATCTCATTTCCTTCTCTACCTTCTCCACCCCAACCTCCATTCCAGCAGCTAAACTGGTATTCTGAAAACCCAGGCCTGACCTTGTCACCTCTGCTTGGCTCCCTGTGGCCTCTAAGAACAATACACAGTCTTCTGCTTGTCATTTAGAACCCCTCAGAGGTTCCCAAACCTTCATTTAGAACACTTCAGAGGTTCCCAAACCTACCTGGCCTTCCATCCCCTTTTTTAAAAAAAATGACAACCCCCTGAAAATCTACTTTCTTTAAACCCCCTTTTTTAAAAAAAATTTGCATCATTTCAAAAAAATGTAACTTTTTACAAAAGATGCATCTTAAATTTAATAATTTATTGTAAATTTGTTTTTTTTCCTGAATTGAAATTTTGATGCACTTGTATGGTATATTATAAACAAGTCATTACAATGACTTCCCAAGAATGCACGACATGCTCGCCTACCAACACTTGCTTGTTAAGATCTATAGTGGACTTGACCACTGATTGGTTTTAACTTGCATTTTGTGTGTTTATCTGGAAAATAATGTAATCATGACTTTAACTCTGTGACACAACAGATGAAATACGTATGAGTGCTCTTTCAAATTTTTTGTCTCTTCTCTTCTTTCCTTATGCTTCCACCACCCCTCATTTATATTCAATGACCCTCAACTGCACCCGGGCCACTACTGCCTCCCTGGATCATTCCAGCACCCCCCAGGGGGTGGCCACTTTGGGAACCTCTGCTAGAAGCTCTGCAGACTTATCTTCCCCTTATTCCCTCTACTTGGAGCTAAACTGGCCTCCTTACTGCTCTCTGGACATGATACTGTCTCTCTTCTCCCTCTACACCTTCAAACAGATTGCTCACCTGGACGCTTGTCCTTCCCATATCCAACACCACTCCCCTTTTGGAAACCCTGAATCACCTGAGAGCTGACCTCAGGAGCCCCTACCTCAGAGAGGCCCTTTCCTGGTTCTCCTGATTGCTACAACTCCCCCAGACTTAAAATTACTCTGTACTTAGTGTGTACACTTAGTGTGTGTGAGCCTGATGCTTCTTCCTCGTAAAACAGCAGCTCTTTGATGGCAAGGGCTATTTTGTTTCTGAGTGCCTGGCACATAGTAGGCATTTGCTAAATACTTGTTGAACTGAATTGCCTTGACTATGCTATGGAGTAAAAGAATAATTCAGGTTCAAGGGGAATGGAGAATTCAGAAAATAGCCCAAAGAACAAATTCAGAATTACCTTCCAACCATGCTATATTTATATGTGTATGTAACCAAATTATTTACATTTTGTTTCCTCCATTAGTGTATACACTCCTGGTGAGGGCAGGGACTTTTTTTTTCCTTTCTGTATCCTCAGCACTTAGCACAAGGCTTGGCAGCTAGTAAACACTGAATAAATGTTTGTTGAGGGACTGTAATTGTGACCTAACTACTCCTGGTTTTTTTGGTGGTCAATCTCAAATGTTTACACCACTTACCCTAAAAGGAGAAAGCCATTTCTATCTAATGATAATCACATGTAGCATTTATATAGCACCTTAAAATTAGCAAAACTTTACATATATTATGAAGTTCTAGATAGTCTAATAATGCTGGCTATAATTATCTATCCCTACAATGCCAGTGGGTTCAGAAGACTTCATTGACCCTTGTGTTAGAAAAGAATATATTAATCCAGATGTCCTTACAAGCCTTTTCCCCTTACAACCTCTGTCTGTTCTTTAAAGTAAACCCAGAGATTAAGTTTTGTCATCCACTCTAATTCAAAAGAGTAGTTGTGCACCATTCAACCTATGAACAGTCTGATTAAAATCAGGTAAAATCCCTGCCCTTCCTCTGTCACCCACATTAAGCAATGGTGACCTACCTTTTATCACTTATAAACCATTTTAAAAATTAAAGAGTACTTTGCCAGACATGTTAAAAGAAATCTGTATTATATATAACCTCTGGAGTTATAAGATAGTATTGATATAGTCTCTAAATTCCTCAAGTTTCCAAGAAAAAAATCCAAATAATTATTTTGCTCCGATTTTTGTTAATTTTTTTTTTATCAAAACATTAGAATCAAGGGCACAGATACTGTAATATCATAATAAACACCTTTACAACAAAAAACTAACCCACTTCTTGACTGAAAATAATTAAAAATGGGAAATGCTTTTCCACAAAAACACTGACATACATGAGTTTTGTGCCTTTTGGTGATAACTCAAGAAAACAATTGCATATGCTAAGGACCACACCATTCAAAGATGTTTTAAGCTAGATTATGTACAAGTGTTTCATAGGCAAGAGGCAGCAAGGCCCCCAGGACAGCAAGCTGGACTCAGAGCCAAGAAGATCCAGCTTGAAGTACCACTTCAGATGCCTACTGGCTGCATGACTGGACCCTGAGTAAGTCACTTGACTTCTCAGCAAGCTCGCTATTTAACTCTCTAGTCTACAAGGCACAGATGAGGGACCAACCTAGGAGTTCCCTCAACTGGAATTCCAATCCTCCTATAAATAGAATCAAAATTCCCATCCTTATGCCTCTCTCTAGAATCACAGACTTCTACAACTAGGATCTTGGCAATTATCCAGGCAGGCCAACTTGCTAATTTTAGACAGGTGTTCTTTTGGAGCAAAACTAAGACCCAAACCCGAGCCTCCTAACTCTTGGTTCGGTGCTCTTTTCTCTATAGCACACTGCTTCAGAACCATACACTAAATAACTGGAGCTTCCATATTACTTTAAAATATAATAAAATAGCCTGAAAGAATACTACCAAAAGAGGAGGACCTAAGAACAACAGAGACTCATTCTGGGTCCCCCTTTTCATATAGTCTTCAAGTTTTCTGCTGCCACCACTGAACACTTTAAAGAGATCCACAGTTTTGGGGTTGGGATGTGGTTTGTAACCCACTCAGAACTCCACTATACCTCCAGAGGACTCGAAGACACAATGCTAACTCTAAGAAACAATCTAAACCAAAAGACTGCCATCAAACAGAGAAGCAAATCTCGTGCCAATGAGTCATGGGCTCCTAATAACACTTCTAAGGTACTTCGGCTCCCAAAGCTCTGGAATCAAAAATGCTGTACAACATACTACACAGATTTAGCTCTAATGACACATAAATAGGCAAAGCAAAAAATTCTAAACTTCAAGGTAAAAATTTATTGTGAAAGCATGAAAATATCTGTCAGGTTAAGACAGACTCAAAATTCCCAGGTTTAACTAATAATGCATACATAAGCTTTTCTTCATAAAGTTAGTATTTATCCAGGCATCCAATAACTTAACTGCTTGGAGTTGTGAGAAATTATAGTTCAATTCTTATGTTCAATTGAAAATGTGAAGAAAAATCAGGCTTAAGATTATGTCTCATACCACGCATCGACATAAATAATCTTTTCGCTACCTGTGATAAATTCAATTACACATAATCATGCATACCAACCATCACAAACTTAAAAGATGTTTGAAGCTGAATTTTAGGCAGACGTTTCATAGCTTAGGGTGGCATCATAACGAAACATCTTATAAACTGCAGTGCAGCACATCAAAACTTAGCACACTTTTTCACAGAAAGAGTTACCCGGAAACATAATCATACCTAATCTGAACAAATAAGTTCTGTAATTTTACTAGTGGAAGAGTGCCTTTAATATACCTTAAAACAGATACTTTTATTTAGATTTATACTTTTACTTATTAAACTGTGAAAAACCATGGAAAACTGATTGTGCAAGTACTGGAACTGGCTGGCTGGTTGCTGTCCTTCATTCCTGAAGAGGATCAATGACAGACCAACGTGGGGTCTGGCTGCAGCTGATCGGATCAACGTGAGCTCAAATGCTCTACCACAGGTCAGGCATAAACAGTTCACATGGATCTCTGAAGTGGAGATGTCTCTAAATTTGCCATCTCACATTTCTCAAGTACTAGGACACTTGGTGGTTAAAGCTGTGCAATTGAGAACTGCCTTCCGAATAAAGTCAGTTAAAATGAAGTAGCCTAGCAAGTTCTGAGCTTCAGATAAATCTACTCAGATCCTTACACTGAAATACTTGCAGTCCCAAATAATGTCATTCATTGTACATTAATATGTTTAAATAAGGTAACAGTACAAAAGAAGTACCAATTAGAGAAACAATCTTCAATTAAAATTACTTCTTCTTTGCCTTTAAATATAAAAAGGCAATCAACTAGATTCATATAAATATAAATGGACTATGAAAAAAATTCTAGAACACAGGTCATCCATCAAAACATTAAAGATCTACTTTATAAGTATGTGTGCTTAATGCAAAATTTAAGGCTCCTTAAAAATTAATAGATGGTCTTCTAGAGTCACTCTGGCTGAAAACTGATCATCTTGCAACCAATCTGGAAATAATCCTCTGAAAAATTAGCTAGGCTCAGTTCTTGAAAAACAAAAACAGAGTTGACTGCTGGGCCTTCGAGAACCCCCACACTAGAAGGAGGTAGGCATAAGGTACGATTCTGATGGACAGTATCAATGAATGATACCATACACAAATTTGAAAACCTAAAACAATGATTCTCAGAATGCATGGCTTTCAAGTAGCACATAAAGACTCTGCCAAATTACCTGAAGGTTCTTCTAGACCACTGATTTCTATACAAGCACACTATTTGTGGCACCAGATTCTTCAGAGCATACTGAAGACGTGCATTTTTGGTTAATGGCAACTATAAATGTAGCTAAGAGTCAAATAACTGAACATTCAAACCCAGGAGCTATAAAAAATATGAAACAAAATTCAAAAAGACAACTACACCTAGAAATTATGGAACATAAGCATATGCCAAAACCAGAAACACAATTTAAGAGAACAATACCTTGAATTGCTGGGGGGCAGATAATCAATGTCTGCTGGGCAGTCCCAGTCTGCACAGGCATTCCATGGTGCATAACTGAATGGGCAGATGTAGTTAATGCCTGAAACATTCAGAGTGAAAAGGCTTTGTTCAGATCAATGTTCCCATAGTTAAGTACGTATAATTTTTTTTTAAAAATCATACTATTTTCCAAGAGTACAATTCCTGTGGAGTGATAAAATGTACCCAGTAATAAAGGCCGATAAAACCCAAAGTCAGAAGGATAGATTCTAAATGAACTAGGAAAAAAAAAAACACAACTGGGAGACACAGTGGGAAGTGCTTTAAGAGAATAAAGGCATGAAATTTCTAAATCTAAATTTGAATAACTTTTAAAAATACATAAATACAAATTCTTAAATATTTGTTCTTACCTGACTTCTTAATGTGCCTATTTTGGTGAAATTTGCAGTCAGATTAGCAGCACTGCCTGAGGCAACTGGTCTCATAAGTGAAGTTTTATTGCGATTATTTGTGTCATATGAGTTTGAGTGAGATTTGCAAACATCCATAATATGAAAACAAGATTTTACACTGCAAAACAGAAAAGTAACTATAAGTACAATTGAACACATAGTATTTAAAATAAACACATAGTAATACATAAGAAGCTCTCAAAAGAATAAAAAAAAAATAGAAAGCTCACATGCAAAAAGAGGCCTAGTAAGAATGTATAAGAGATATTGTTAATTTCCAAAACAAAAACAAAAAAAAATCCATTAGAAAATGCAATAGATTTTAAAAGCCAATAAAAGCAATTTCATTACTGTAATCTTTTTGAAGATAGTAAAATAGTAGTAACAACTACTTTGCATCCAATATTGTTTCCCTAGAAAAAGAATTGTTCCTGAATTTCTAAGACATCTGTCTGAGACAACTGTCTGATGTATGTGGGTATCTTACTATTTTTAAGGTTTCTCAATAAAGAAAGGCACTATCTGGTCGTGGAAAAAGCTAGGCCTTGGACTCAGGAAAACCTGGTTTCCAGTTCCATTTCTGAAACACATGAGTATGTACAATGCTGGGTAAATCACTTAATCTCTCAGTGCCTCAAGCAAAACTAAGTAGAAGATGTCCATCTGTAGAGGGGGATTTCCTCATAGAGAGATACCTGCAACAATGAAATCACTAGCCTGAAATGAACCTTTCTCCCTTTTCCTCATCCCCCAACCACCCCAAAGCTCTAAAATGCAAAAGACTGACATTTTATGGAGTTTTTCATCTGAGCTGCCTGTCTTCAGCCCATTCCTTGGTCCTTTCCATTTTTTTTTTTCCCTAAAAGCAGCATACGAGTGTTATGGCCATACCATTTTTTTTTGGTCATACCATTTTAAAGGCACAGTTATTCCATAGGGTCCCATTCTGTACTGTACATCTTCATACCTATATTTCCAGTTCCCTCATTAGGGAGGTGGGGGAAAAGGAAAGAGACCAGGAGGACTTGACACTAACTGGGGTCTCTGAAACCCGGAAAAGTCCATAGTTAAAATCATCAACCAGCATCCCTCATCACACAGCTGTCACCCTTCCAGTCTTGTTATATAACAAAAATGAAAACACATACACAGGTATGTGAAAACGTGTATATATGTATGTAAACATGTGTGTACATGTTTGCATGTAATTTTGGCTCTAATTACATGTATGATCTTAGGCAAATGACAGGATCATAGAGCTAGAAGGATCCCTGGACATCATCTAATCCTAGGGTTGCAAACGAAGGCCTGAGGACCAAATCTAGCCCACCATCTGTTTGGCCTGAGAACAAAGAATGGCTGTTACATTTTTAAATGCAGAATTGCTGACCCCTAGCCTAGTCCTATCCCTTCAATTCACAAATGAGTAACATGAGATAAGTGATACACCTAATATCACACAACAATATTCGTGGCAAGAGCCAGGATCAGACACCAGATTTTTTTAAATCACAAAACTCAGAGCTCTATCCACTACACTTACATAAATACTTAAAGAAACTGAGGCTCGGAGAGGTTATTCAACAAATGCAGAGTTTGGAATAGAGAACTACTACCATTTTCTAGGAGAATAATATATTTTTCCCAGAAATATATCAAAAATATATTTGCATAAAACATACTGGTTGCTATGAGGGAAATCTAGAAGATGTTTCATGTTAACAAAAGGATGGTTCAGTGTTTCAACTGGAGTGATTCTCAAATCAGCATCAATCAGCAACATTTTCTTCAACAGACCAACAAATTCTCTTCTATCAGCTTTCTCTGCCAAAAGATCAATTCCTTCTAAATCCATCACTGTGTTCACCTGAAAAACCAGAATTTCAAATAAACAGAGAAGAGAAAATACATTTACGCTAGAGTAAGAAATTGAAGAAAGCCATACGTTGAAAATTTTTATAGTAAAAATATGGGTACATTCTGAACCACAGAGGAAAAAAGGACGCACAAATATTGTGAAGATTAAAAAAATGGCACAAAAGACAAGGCATAATGGCACCTTGGGATTAAGGGGCATAAAGTCTATTCCAGTGCCACAAAGGATTTATGATGGGTACTTCAGAGGAATAGCCTACTCTCCACTCCCCCACCCCCACCCCCACACAGGTCAGGCTAGTTTTTCCTTAAAAGGTATTGAGACCTTTCTCAAGAGTTGGCTGATTTCAGGGACCAAGGGCTCAGGCAGTTCCTTTCTGATCATATCCTCACTTCCTGAATACAAAGCAGCGAAGGAACTGGAGGGGCTCTCAGATGCTTGGCTGGTGGATTGTGACAGGAACTTTGTTCAGCTGAATCAACTCAAGGAGTTCTCAATACCCCTCCTTGTTGAACATCCTTTTCCTGCTATGACTAAGTAAACCTCACTTTGTTAACTCTTGAACGAACTATGAATGTCTCATTTTGCTTCAATATAGAGCCTAAACTACCAGGGAACTGGCCTGAGTCAGAACCAGAAGTGCAGGTAACCAAAAATGAAGACCTAAATTAATATTTTTTTCATAGAGTAATATAAGTTAGAAGGACAGAAAGTAAATTCAACTGAAAAACAGATTATCTAACTTTTAAGTTTGACAAGCAAAGTTACAATTTAATTTTTTAAGGTGATCAAAACCAATTAGATTTTAATCAGTTAGGGCAGACGAATTTATTCAAAGCTACCAAGGACTTCAAATTCAAACCAAAAGAATGATTAATGTATGTTGCCATATTGAGCATTCAAGACCATCACATAAGGCTGACAGAGATTACTGTACTCACATGCACTATGTCATCCAAACTGTTGAAAATATACTTTCTGGCTTCTTTAGACTTCATTCCTGTCTCTGCCTCATGCTCTTCAAGAGTCTTATTCAATAAATAAAAATAACAGTTTTATTTCTTTTTCTTAAAGCATAAACATTAAAATATTTTAAGTATACTAAGGCAGTGGAAATTTAAAATAGCATATAGTAATTAGCAATAATGTACAATAAGATTAAAGGTAGAATCAATGGGGAGAAAATTTTCAAATGCTACAGAATTACATAATCACCAAGATTAAGAATGAGCAATTCTTAAGTCAGTGATTACTTACAAAACACCAACTGACTTCACAAGAACAAGCTACATCACACACACACACACACACACACACACACACACACACACACACACACACACACAGAGCAGATCCAGTCTTCGTCTCTCACTCTCAAACGTTAAAATTTTTATAAGAAAAGCATATAATCAAAAGAAATTACAAACATAAAATTATAAAAGTGCACCAAGGGGGAAAAGATCAGGTTAGAGACTGGGCTGATTCTTAGTGAATGAAGAAAGGTGAGAGGGGAGGGAGATAATTCAGAACTGAAAAGAAAACTGAATTTTTTAAAAAATCCAGCAAGAGAGAAAATTTAAATTAACTACAAAATGGCATAAAATACTTGAGAGTCATTTTACCAAGGCACAGTCTGGACAAATGTGACTACAACTATAAAACATCCTTTACAGAAATAAAGGAAGACTTAAATTAGAAAAAGAGAAAGGGGATGAGGAGAAAGAGAAGGAAAGGAAAAGGGAGAAAGAATAGGCTAAGTTAAACTGGGAAGGCTTCTTAAATTGGAACAGATGCAGTAGAGGGAAAAAAGTACAGGAGGAGCAAAGGGTATTTTAAGCAAAGAATTTTCTTAAGATTTTTATTCATTACCTTTAATCTCCAACCAGAATGTGAAATATCTGTTTCTCTACAAAAGAATCTTGTAGATTTTGTCCCCACATTTAACAACTGTTCTCCTGGTAAACCTTGAGTCTGTGAAATGTAACGAATCTGAAAAACAAACAAAAATTGTTTAATTAAGGTTCAATTTTGAATCTTGCTTCATGGCTTGTGATCTCATCAGTGTGAGTACTCCCTTCCACCAACAAATCATAATCGCTGTACAACTTAGCAAATGTTCAAGAGCTGCAGTGGCCAAATAATTCATCATCCTCTGCCAACTTGGCAGTGAGCCTCTTTGAACTTATCCTAGGATAGTGCTCAAACAAAAGAATGAGGGAAAGTTACTGGGCTTATATCTGAAGCCTTTCCAGCTTGGTAGGACCTTTCAGAGCTAACGTTTCACTAGCATAGCCTTTGAGAACATAGGATACACGCTGTATATCCTGTATATACAGGATATATAGTATATAAAAATACCCATTTAAAATTGATCTATTAAGAAACTACTATAGAAGAAATTAGTGAGAAGACAACTGGAAGTAAAAATCTGTGGAAGTTCATTGGGTAAGACTTGGCAAGTAATAAGGTGAAGGATTAAGGTGGAGGGAGAAATAGGGAAGAAAAGCTAAAGATGACCTCCAAGACTGCAAACCTCAGTGACTACAAAGATGGCATATTCAACAGAAAGAGGACAATGCAGAGGTTAAAGGTTACTCAGACTTGAAGAATGACTACATTTAAAGGCAGAAAAAACAAACATGAAATTCAGTTCAGTTGTAACTTCTCTCTTCAAGAAAATATCAGGCAAACTGAGGGTACTACGTGTCACCTCCCTGACTACCTTGAATGAAGGAGGTGTTAAATAAATACTGGTCAAATATAACCCAGGTATTTGTGAGGAAGGCAAAAGATTAGAGAACATGAGAACCAGATGAGAAACTAGTCTTCACTGTGCCACTAACCTGCTGTGGGACTGTGGAACAAGCCCACTTGTCTAACAGGCTCCAGTTTCTTCATCTATAAAATGAGAGCATTGAGCTAAACAACTGGAAGAGCCCTCTTAGGTCTCATCCTCTAGAAATTCACCACCAGGAGAACAGAAAACAAATACATCTATTGTATCCACAACTCTGCTGAAGAGAATTCACTGTGGTCATACTGACTTAACACTGATAGACTGGCTAAGACATCACAGCTTTTTGGGCTTATTTCTTTTTGTACTATGCAAATTCTTTGAAATGATCTTTACCATAATTATATTTATCCTCTTAAAATACCAAACAGCTAAAAATCTCCTTGCTATATAACAACAGAATAATGACTACAAATGTAATAAAAAACTAATAAGGTTAGACTAGATGCTAAATTATATCCTGTCACTGGAGTTGCCTTCATCAATAATTTATAATCTTTATAACTTTATAACAAAAGAGAAAGCCTTTCCTAAACCATTGAATTATTACCTCTCCTTCTTCCCTCATTTATTTACGTCATTTGTGTTCACTTTGTATGTTTGGGCCTAGAAAGAAAGTAGCACACACTTAATAAATGTTTACTAAGTTGAATACCAGGAAATAACAAAAATTATCTTTGACAATATTACCTGGTACTGAAAATATATGAACAAAATTTTTTCTTTAAAAAAGATTAAAAGACAGGCCAAAAATTATTGGAAAGGATATGACTTTCTCTTCAATTTAAGTTTAGACCAGTCTAGACAACATTTTAAAAACTCCATCGGAAATTTAATGAGACAAAATACAATATTTATTGAGTATATGCTTCTAATGAAAGACACTACTTGTTTTTATTGTCTAAATTTTTAAAATTCTGAACTTAAAGCCAAATAAAATAAGCATTTCCATATACAAAAGGAAAAGGAGAACTGTTCATTAAAATGTAGTGGTTACTACATACAGCTTGTTTTTATTTTTAAATAGATAATAAATTCACAAGTAACTTTCAAAGATGCTCATATTACCTATGATTCTTTCTAGCCTCTCTACAATTCTCACCTACGTGTTATTTTTTTAAGTTTCAATGAGCCTCTTTTCCCGCTTTTTAGCTACTCTGTCCCTAGCCCCAGTCTGATACCCAGCCACTACAATTAAAAAGGAAAAAAGAAAAAGAAAGCCTTTGTAACAAATATGCATAGTTAAGCAATTCCCAATGGAAGTGCCTGAAAAGGTGTCTTGTTGAGCATTCTGAGTCCACCACTTGTCAGGAGGTAGGTAGCATGCTGCTTCATCAGCTGCCCTCTGATCAATACATTGATCAGAGTTCTTAGGTCTTTCAAAGTATTTTTTTAAAAATAATGTTGTTCCAAAAAAAAAATAATGTTGTTCCTATGCCAATTGTTCTCTTGGTTTTGCTCATTTCACTCCGGGTCAGTTCACCATCAGTTACTTTTAAATTGTATGAAGGTTTTTCTTAGGTTATTTGTAATCGTGGAACCAAGTACTATAAATAGAAGTATTAAGTTTGTACAACACCTCTGAAACAGGGTGACTGCCTATCTGGCCCAATCAAATGTAGGAAGGAATTTCATTAGTGACATTCTGTGAAACAAATCTTGTTACACTATTGTTTAAGCCTTTGCCATTATCTTTAAGAATCTGTGTAATACTTTTTTTTGGATTATATTTTGTTATAAAACCATAACTAAAACTGGTTGCATAAATCTAGTGAAAAATATTCAAGAGTCAAGAAGAATCAACTAGACTGAAATTCTACTTGAGTAAAAGCAAAGATGGCAAGCTCATTCTTATCCAATTTGTATAAGACACAAAGCTAGTTCTAGTAGTCTTAGCTAAGATGGTGGATAAGACAATAAGAATCCAAAAATAGCTTAATAGGTTGGAATGATAGACAATTATCTAATAAAGTGATATTTTAGTAGGGTCAAATGTAAAGTCTTACACTTTAAAGTTTAGGAAAAAACCTTAAAAGTAAAAGATGGGGCAGACATGACCAGAGTATTAAGTCTTCAGAAAACAATCCAGAAAGGGATGAGTTAGTGAACAACAAACTCAGTAAGTCAACAATATGTAGTAGGCAAAAAAATCAAATTCAATTTTAAGACTACATTAAGAGAAGCTTAGTATACAGGGCAAAGATGTCATAATCCTGCTTCACTCTGCCTTTGTCAGACCACATCAGGAAGTGGGGGTGGGTGTTGGGGAGGAGTATCACATTTTTAAAAGGATGCTGATAAAACAGCAGGATGAATACGATGGCAAAGGGCCTCAATGTCATACCATATGTACATCAGTTAAAAGAACTTGAGGTGTTTACCCTGGAAATGAAAAGACTTAGGTAAGATATATGACAGTTGTAGCTTCAAGTATTTGAAAAGCTGTCACATAAGAGGAATTAGACTCGTTTTGCTTGGACCTAGGGGACAGAAATAGGAGAATCAGTTGGGTGTTACAAACAGCATGTGGAATGGTCAATGCAAAGGCATGGGAAAAGGAAATTGGAATGTCATGTGTTAGGAACAAAGAGAAAGCCAGTTTGGCTGGATCACAGAGTGCAGAAGGAGTAATATCAAACGTGGCTGGAAAGATAAATTTGGGCCAGGCTGCACAGTGATTTAAAAGTTAAAAAGAACAGTTTACATTTTATGCTAGAGACAACAGGAAGCTACCAGAGTGGACTGAGTAGGCAAGTCACATGGTCAGAGATGCATTTGGGGAAAATCACTGTGACAACTGTATGCTGAATGGACTAGAATAGAGACTTGAGGAAGGGAGACCAATTAGGAGGCCATTGCAATAGCACAGGCAAGAAGTGAGGAAGGTCTAAGCTCTCAGGTGGTAGCTTTGTGAATGGAAAGAAAAGGTCAAATGCAAGAGATATTACAGAGGTAAAAATGTCCAGATTTGGCAACTGACTGGCTATGAAATATAAGGGAGAATGAGGAGTCAAAGATAATGCAGAGGCTTCATACTTGAAGGATGGGAGGATGGTGATGCCTTTGACAGAAATAGAAGAGTCAGGAAGAGGGGGGAGAATAGATCTATGATTCTATCGTTACTACAAATAACAAACAAAATAAAGTAAGAAAAAAAAAGCCACCTTTCATACGCCAAATACAGCTAACTCTACCTGGATTTCAAATCTAAGAGAGTGCTTATTGTTTACAATTGTGGCAGGAAAAAACCTAGAGATCCCAAGCCATCCAAGGCTAAGAAGGAGTCAGTGTTGTAGGGCTGCTTTTTAAACCACACTGTGCTACTGCCACTCACAAGTGTGGTACAGTAGAAAGAAAAAAGAATTTAGAGTCAGAATATCTGGGTTCAGATGCTAGGTAATAAGTATCCACACTTAATACAGTTCCTTATGTTTACAAAGCAATTAGCTGCATGAACCTTCACAGACAGCCCTGTAAAGAAGACACTACTAGGATTATCACCTTATACAAATAAGGAAACCAAAGTTCGGACTGGTTAAGTGACTTGCCCATGGCCCCCTAGTTAAAGTGCCACAGATAGAATCTGAACCCAAACTCTCCTGACTGAAAGTTCAGAGTAGGGCTTTGAGTTTTTTAAATATCCTTGGGAGTGCCCATCTATAATTGAATTCTCTCTATAATTGAAAGTGATGCACATTAGCTAAATTAAATTGGTTCAGATGTGAACCAATGTAAGGAAAAGGAAGAGGAAAAGGGAAGGGAAGGGGAAAGGAAAGGGAAAGAGGTCATCATTTAATAACAAATATTCTTAAAAGAGTTCTATAGATGACAAAGCCAATATGGTGGATTAAAGGCAGAAATTCACCTAAGCTCTCCCAAATTTCCTTCCAAACAACTTTTAAAAGGTTGAGGTGAAACAATTTTCCAGCCCAAGACAACTTAGGATAGCAGCAGGAAAGGCCTGTCTCACTGGGGTGGTGGTCGGGCTTTGAGAGTGGCTGCATGGGGGGGAGTGGTGGCTTCTAGAGCTCTCAGCTTGGTAAGGAAGTTGAACAACTGATCAGAAGGAAATTACAGGGGACTCTGTTTGCACTGGGTGCAGAACTCTGTTGCATTGCCCATACTCAGTTTCAGGTCAAGGTCTGAGGGTGAGGAAGAGCACCAACATACTCGTGCTTGAAGCCACAGGGGAGTGGGGACCCTGGTCACAATTCCAAGGTAGAGAAGGCGGGTGGAGGCACTAGTCTCAGGTTCAAGGCAGAAAGGAACACTGATTCTCTAGACCACAGGAGAGCAAGAACCCAAGTCACAACTCCAGAGTCTTAAGAAGCAAAAGCTCTTGTGGCCACATGGGAGCAGGGGCCTTGGTCACAGCTCCAGGGCGAAGAAGAGTGCTTGTGGTCACTCACAGAGCAGAGTACAGGTCAGGAGAACAGTGACCACACCTATCCTTAGATCACATCACCTTAGAAGAACCAAAAATTTACGGGTCCCCAGAATTATCTCTGAAAACAGCTGCACAAAAAACCTGAAGCTTGGAACATGACCCCTTCACCCTGGGAGCAGAGGCCAACTTTAATACCAAGTTAAAGTCAAGAAATAGACTGAAAAATGAGCAACCAACAAGAACCTGACCACAGAAAGTTACTATGGTGACAGGGAAAAATCAAGACAAACTCAGAAGAAGACAAGGAAGTCAAAATAGCTACATGAAAAGCTTCAAAGAGAAATCTGAATTGGGCATAGACCCAAAATGAATTCCTGACAGAGCTCAAAAAGGGATTTTAAAACTCAAATTAAAAAAGTAGAAGAAAAACTGGGAAAAGAAATGAGACTAATGCAAGAAAATGATGAAGAAACATAACAGTTGGTAAAAAAGGCACAAAAAAATACTGAAGAAAATAACACCTTAAAAAACAGAATTGGCCAAATGGTAAAAGAGGCACAAAAATCCACTGAAGAGAATAACTCCTCAAAAAGCAGAATTGGGCAAATGGAAAAGGAGGTACTAAAGCTCACTGAGGAAAATAATCCCTCAAAAATTAAAAATTAGAATTGAATAAAGGGAATCTAATGACTCCATGAGACATCAAGAGACTAAAACAAAATCAAAAGAATGAAAAAATACAATATAAAATATCTCATTAGAAACTAAGCAATTAATCACGAAAATAGATCCAGGAGAGATAACTGAAGAATTATTGGACTATCTGAAAGCCACGATTAAAAAAAAAAAAGAGCCTAGATATTATATTTCAACAAATGATCAAAGAAAACTGCCCTGATACCCTAGAATGAGAAAAATAGAAAGCGGAAGAATTCACCAATCACCTCTTGTGAGAGATCTCAAAATGAAAGCTCCCAGGAATACCACAGTCAAATTCCTGAGCTCCCAGGTCAAGGAGAAAATTATTGCAAGCAGCCAGTTCATATAACATATAGCATATAACATAGTAAGGATAACAAAAGATTGAGCAGCTTCTACATTGAAGGATCAGGGGGCTTGGAATATGATATTCCAGAGGGCAAAGGAGCTAGAATTACAACCTAGAATCATCTACCCAGCAAAAATGAGTATAATCCTTCAGGGGGGAAAGATGGACATTTAATGTAACAGAGGACTTTCAAGCATTCCTGATGAAAAGACCAGAATTGAACAGAAAACGTGACTTTCAAATACAAGACTCAAGAGGAGCATAAAAGAGTAACACATGAAAAGAGAAATCGCAAAGTATTCAATAAAGTTAAACAGTTTACATTCCTACATGGGAAGATGATACTTGTAACTCCTAGGAACTTCATCATTAGCAGGGCATTTAAATGAGCATATATAGACAGAGGGCATGGGTGTGAATTGACTATGATGGGATGAGTTCAAAAAAATAATAGTAAGGGGTAAGAAAGAGGGATGCACTGGGAGAAGGGGAAAGAGAGAGATAGAAAGGGGTAAATTATATCATATAAAAGAGGCACAAGAGGAAGAGCTTTTACAGTGGAGGGGTGAATAATGCTTGCCCCTTACTCTCATCAGGACTGGCTCAAAGAGGGAACAACAAACACACTCAGTTTGGTATAGAAATCTACCTTGCTCCACAGGAAAGTAGGAGGAGAGGAGGTTAAAAGAAAGGGGAAAGGAGGGGAGAGACTGATAGAAGGAAGGGAAAATTGAGGGAGATGGTCAGAAGCAAAAGGAGAGACACAGCAAAAGGAGAAAGAGAGGGAAGGATAAGTGGGGAAAATAGGATGCAGAGAAATACAGTTAGTAATCATAACTGTGAGTATAAATGGGATAAATTCACCCATAAAACAGAAGCAGATAGCAGAATGGATTAAAAACCAGAAACCTACAATATACTATTTACTAGAAACACACAGAAGTAAAGATAAGGAGCTAGAGCAGAATCTATTATGCTTCAGACGGAGTTAAAAAAAAATTCTCTAGTGCTGACATCAGGACCTACACTTTAATAACTCTGTCCATGAAGATGTGATTCAGCATTATCAATATGAATTTCCAAAATATTAGCACATAAGGTTTTATATCTTAATTTCCTAATTCTTGGACTTTGCTGATTTATTTTAAAAGACTCCCACAGTTTAAAAAAAATGTACATGAAGGATTAGGTATTTCTTTTTTTTCCTGGATAAATTTTTAAAATCCTGCTTTACTGATATCTTGTTTTTACATCACCTTCATATGGAAGAAATATATTCACATGGGAAAGATATTTGTCCCTTATTCTGTGAACTATGCCTCGACAACAGATATTTTAAAAAGGGAAAAAAAGCTGTTCAGCAAAACTAACCAATACATCAACCACGTCTGACAGTAAGGAGTAGGCGTTTGTATATTATTTTAAATTTTATATTCAACTTCGTTGGCAAATATAACAACTCTACTACCTGGTCATACTCCAGTGCTCCTGGGTATAGTGGCCATCCAAGGAATAACTCAGCAATCACACAACCCAGCGACCACATGTCTATGGCTTCACAAAATGGCAACCCCAATATGATCTCTGGAGCTCTGAAAGTCAAACAAAGAACATTTGATGAACTAAATTAAAATCAAAATTAAAAAAAAGTATTTTAACAGTTTTATTACTTTAAGATGACTTTAAATAAAATATCCACTGATATGAGAAAATGTTTGACCTCTTTCTATTTCAACATGATAAATATGGTCTTTCACCTTTGTAGTTTCCTGAGATTCTCTTAGTCTCTAAGAGCCTTTGTAAACCTAAATGTTAAATCAATCTCTTTGCACTAATACCCCATTTGTGCCAGAATTCCCTAGAACACGTACCTAAAACCAAATAAAAGGTATCTGATACTCCAAAGTATCTGTCAAAGACCCTGCTGTTCTAATCTTCATATTTAATTTTATTAAGTTTACCTAGCTTCCTAAATCACAGCAGATTATAAGCACAAAATCGAAGGGGAAAGAAATGAAACCTTTAGAACCAGTCACTAAGGAGTAAGAAAAATAAATGATAGTTGAAAGTTGACAAAAAGAAAAGACAAAAAATCTCTCTTAGAAACAATAAAATAATGGACAATCGTGATGATAATTGTGAATGATCACTAATTTAAAAACAATTTTTAAAAGGCTAGAAAGTACATAGTTTAGAAACCCTATCAGAACAGTTAAAATAAAAAGCCTTTTGGCCCTTGAAAGATCACTTTCCTCATCTGTAATTATATCCACACCCAACTACTCCAGCATTTCCCAAGAATACCCAATGACACCTCAAGTTAAATCTTGATGCACTCTCTACCAGAATGCTAGACACAGGATCATAATCACCACTCTAATCGTAAAGTGATTAGAAAAGAGCTATTAAGAGCTTTTAGAATCCCGGCTACCAGGGAATTTCAGACTAAAGCACTCTTTTTTCACCCCCAACTAAAGAGTCAATACCAAAAACATGTAACAATATCCCCTCTGGTAGAAGCTATTCCCAAGGTGAATTCTTTTTTAGGATATGTACTGTAAATTCTCTATTTTCCAATACATGTTCTATAAAAATGAATACTCTGTTTTAAGTACTTTTGTATATGCACAGTATGATGATAATGGATATTCATTATTTAACTTGAGATACTATAAGGGCCAGAAATACCTTCAGAATCACAAAGAAATGTTCAATTATTTTTCTAAGACTTTTAATGCAGAAGTTCTTAACCATCTTTGTTTCACAGACCCCTTTGACAGTATGGAAAAGTATATGTACCTCAGAATCATGTTTTGACTTTTTTTAATCATGCAAAATATATTTCCATATTAGCCATGTTGCTAAAAAAAAGGCAAGAAAAAAAGTGAAAAAATTATGTTTCAATCTGCATTCAGACTCCATCATTCTTTCTCTGGAGACAGATACCATTTTTATCCTAAGACCTTCAGAATTGTCTTGGACCACTGTATTGCTGAGAATAGCTAAGTCATTCACAGCTGGTCTTCGTACAATATTGCTGTTACTCTATACCATGGTGTCTTGGTTCTGCTCATTTCATTTTACATCAGTTCATGAAAGTGTTTCCAGGTTTTTCTGAAATCGGTCTGCTAATCATTTCTTATAGTCCAATAGTATTCCATCACAATCATATACTACAACTTGTTTAGACATTCTCCAATTGATAGGCATGTCTTCAACTTCCAATTCTTTGCCACCACAAAAAGAGCCACTATAAATATTTTTGTACATACAGGTCCTTTTCCTTTGATCTTTTTTGGGATATAGACTTAGTGATGGTATTGCTGAGTCAAAGGGTGAAGCACTCTGACTGCAGGCCTAGAACTCTATCCACTGCACCACCCAGCTAACTGACTTTCTGAAAAACAATTCAGTAAGTCTGTGTACTTACTAGTTGCCTCCACTTAAGACCTCCTATGAATCATTAAAGTTAAAGCACACAGATCCCCGATACCCCTTGAAGGCAAGAGGGTTGACTGGAATTCTTTTTGAGTTAAATAGGTAGAACAAGGTGTCTACCACTCTCCTGGCTTTAAGCTTTTCCACTTAATTATCATCAAAGCCCCAAATCACAGTCTCCTGACTGTGTTCTCAATAACAATGTTCTTACCAAAAAAATAAAAGAAGTCTTAAAGTACAAAAAAGTAGACCTTTCTTCTTGAGTAGCCTTTGCAACTGAAACTAACAATGTCTTATTTGTACTTCATTTCTTAAAAGATCTATGATTCAGTTGTTATTAGTATCCCCTGCATTAAAACAAATAGCAATCCCCTCCATGCTCACAGAGATGGTCTTGGTGAGTTACTTTTTGGCAAGAAAAAAAGATAATACCCTGTTACCAACATGGTGATAAGCCCCTCCTAATTTAGATAGGTAACTCCTCAGATGATAAGTATGAAGTCCACCCATCACTGGGCCTGTATTAGAAGTCTTCTATCTTGGCAGGACCTACCAGAGCTCTAGCTCCAATGTATCACTTTGAAAACCCAGGTTATCGCTATACTTTAATGATCCATAGGAGGTCTTAAGTGAAGACAGCTAGTACATAGACTTACTGAATTGGCTTTCAGGAAGGCAGTTAGCTGGGTGGTGCAGTGGGTAGAATGCTAGGCCTAGAGTCAGGAAGAGATGAGTTCAAATTCTACTTCAGACACTTAACAGCTGTATGACTGGGCAAGTCACAACCTCTCAGCCTCAGTTTCTTCATCTGTAAAATAGAAATAATAACAGAACCTACCTCACAGGGCTGTTTTAAGGATCAAATGATATAACATTCAGGGCACTTTGCAAACCTTAAAGTCCTACCTAAACACTATTTGTTGCTGTTGTTAATTTTATTGAGGTTATGAGAATAAAGAGTTTCATGAAGGCTCTGTCCTTTTGATTCATTTCCAAATCACCTGTCTGTATAGGCCATGTGCAGAGTTCTGGAAATACAAGAGACCAAAACAATTTCCTCAAGGAGCTTACATCCTAATGGAAGATAAGTTACTGATGTAATCAATTTTGAACTGTCTAGGCACAGTCAGACCACTGGAGGGTGGGGGGAGGGAATTTTCATTATTCAAGTTTGTATACTCTGAAGTCCATTGAATAAAATCTTACAATGACCTTTATCTTCATAGAATTTCTGAACTGGAAGGGAACCCTGCATTTCCATCTACTCTACCCATACCAGAACAATTTCTTTCATAACTTCTTTCATAGCATAACCAACAGGTGCTCATTCAGCCTTTAAAGACTTCCAGTGAGGGAGAATCCATCATCCTATGAGGCAGGCAACTTTACTTTGGCATAGTTCTGTCTGATAAGTAGGAGGGTATGTACACAGAATGGGTGTGGAATGTTACATATGCTGTTACATACATGGTCACTTGTTGTTTAGGTTTATGGAGTTTTTTCTTTTTAATTTTTTTCTTTTAAAAATTTTTGTTACATGGGAAGGCTCACTGGGGAAAGAAATTAAAAGTTATGTTCAGGCATTACTATAAGAAGAAAGGCATCCAGAAGGAGACCCAAACAGAAGGAGAGCTAGGAAAGTTACAGGTTGAATTTATTAGAAAGAGATACATTAAGTTGTACATAATAGAAATTCACAGTTTCACTCCTTTTCTGTTTCTACTTTGTATTTGGAATTCTATTTTATTTGGTGTTTAAGTTCAGACTGAAAAAATGAAAATAAATTTAAAAGGAAACAAATAAAGCTAAAAAGAAAAAGGTATGGTATCCTACAAATAATATTCAACAAATGCCAATCAAGTGTTCTGATACCAAACCAATAAACATAATCATTATTTCAGCTGTTTTAAAGTATGAAAATGTTACTAATGAATGACAGAGAAAATCTAAAAAAGCCCAGAAACTTGCATAAAACCTATCTTTATCTGATCAAAGTTATCTTCATTTCCTCTTCTAAAAAATGGAAAAAAAATATTACTGCCCTAAGCGAGCTCCATGATATATAGCACAAGACAATCTGTGATCTTTTTTTGCACAAATTCTGATTAGTTTTAACATTTCTAGGTTAATCAAAACAGCAGGTTAAAATTGCAGCATTACTAAATGCCATCAAATATTTTCTAAATAAACAGTATTGAAACATTAAGCTATTAAAATATTATATAATTCTTTTAAAAATATCACTCTGCCAAGTCAAAAATTTAGTAACATTTCTCAAAATTATATATTAACTGGACTGAAGCTCTGCCATTGGTAGATTATCTGCAATATTGATATGTTTCTCTTCCTTTCTCTTTAGTAAATATTTATTTTGATTTTAAAACTAGCCAGGTACAATAAATAAAGTAAATATACTGATTTTATAACAGCTCTATTTGACATTTTAATTAAATCCCTTCATGACTCAAACATTTCTTTATAATTTTTTTACATTAAATACATTATCATCACTTTAAAACATCTTATTTTGAGAGCCACTGTAATCCCAAGGAAAATTAACATAAACAATTTTACTCAAGAATAAGTCAAGTAAAAAGCATTTATTAAGCACTTATCATGTGCCAGGTACTATGCTAAGCACTGGAGGATACAAAGAAAGAAAAAATAGTCCCTGTTCTCAAGGAGCTTATGATCTAATGGAAGAGACAATATGCAAACTATGTACAAACACGATATATACAGGGTAAACTTGGAATTAACATCAGACGGAAGGCACTAGCATTAATGAGGACTGCCAAAGGATTTTAGCTGAGACCTGAAGGAAGCCAAGGAAAGATAGGAAACAAAGATGAGGTGAGAATTACAGGCATGGGGCACATCCAATAAAAATGCTGAGTCAAGAGATGTAGTGTTTTATGAGAATAACAGCAAGGAGGCCAGTATCACTGGATGGCAGAATATGTTGAAGGGAGGAAGGTGTAAGAAAACTAGTAAGGTAGGAAGGGCCAGGTTTATATCTGATTCTGGAAATAAAAGGAAGCCACTAAAGTATGTCTAGATCAGAGGATGATATGGTCAGACCTGTATTTTGGGAAGATCAATAGGATAACCGGGTAGAAGATGGACTGAAATGGGGAAAGACTTGAGGTGGAGA